TAGGATTATGACATTGTCTAAATCAATTTGCCTCAGCCCACAGACTCAAACGTTTTATCAGTGGTCCAGTCACAAAAATATTGGCTGCTCTGGGTAAGATTAATCTCATTTGTCCCTTTCAGTTTTACACAAGGGCTACCCTGCTTTGTCATACTTGGCTTCTCGTAAAGCACTACCAGCACACTTTTCTACCTCAAAATGCTGCCAGCAATTCAAGGATTTTTCCCTAAGGAGTGACATAAACCCTCCATGAGATGAAATATGGACCCCTGCAGATTTAGGCAGAAGCTGGTGGTTCTGGTGACATTTCTGATTGTTAAATGATGGAGCCGGGCATGAAGGAAGACCTCATGTGTTTTCACATAGTGCCACTGGCACATGGTACTGATGCTCTCAAAGCTGTACATAAGGTTCCTTGCCCTGCTTGTAGAACACTGACACCTCCGCTTTCCTGTATTTTAACTTTCTCCTCCTCCTCCAAAAAACTGAATCCCCCCAAAACAACACCCAAACCCAACTTACCATTACATCCATAAAGAAATCTAGTAGCAGGTATTAGTTCCTGGAGTCTCTAAAATATGATGACTGCTACATTATTGCTCAGTAGCAATTAATTCTGAGTTTTTTAGGCTTCAAGTAGTTCTCTGCAAGAATGTGCACATAAAGATTCCAATAATCTTACTCTGGAAAACAGTGCTCGCTGCTATTCTTTCTCCTCACTGGAAGCAATAAATTCCCTGAGAGCAAAAATGTTGATCTGGGCTGAATTTGTGTTCTATTCCAGTTCTTCTCCTAATGGATAACAGTGCTGTAGGCACTATGGTTTTGTGCAGGTGTGGTACCTTCTGGGTGGATCTTGTCTTTATACAAAGCTTTATGGTTGGTGTCAGAAAATAATAACATAGCCATTGCTTCAACCATTGTATGCAAAATGAAATTTTCCTTTGATGGTTTGTGAGCTGGAACATAAACCAACACGAAGTGCTCTAGCAGAATATAGAAATATTCTCATGTTTTCCTTGGAAGCCTTATTACTCTTCTGTAAAGAAAATCTCTTCCCTGCTCACTGGTAAATTGTCTTACCACTTCCTTTTCCACATTTGGCTGGCAAACTAGTGATTCAACTATTCAGCTGTCTCAGATACTTGTGTAGTGAGTTTTATGGCTTGAACACTGTTGACCAAGGAAAAATGGTGAAGTTTGCAAAGTCAAATATTCTGTTCAGTTTGTGAAAATTTAATCTGGCTTGCACAGTTTTTCAAAATACAGTGATTACTGAGCTTTTTTTCCCCAGAATCCCACCACACGTTATTTGCAGAAAATGAACTAAGTCTGAAGACAAATTATAATGGTGCAATGAAGGAGGTTGTTACTTACAAGACATCTACACCATGAGCAGCAGAAACTGTTGAGAACAAGGAAGGCAACTCTAAGAAAAGGAAGAACAGTTTCACATTGGTGTTCTCTGGTAAATTGTTTCCCTTCACAGGAATGGTCAGAACACAAATAAATCAAGGTGAGTGTATCCCTCAAGTATAATGGTGATGGTTATGGAAGAAAAGTCTGTGATTAAAAAAAAAAAAGTCTTCCAAGCAGGGTTTGCACAATATGTAACCAAGTGCAACAAAACCTAAACTTGAGCAAGGAGGAGAACAATATGGAATAGCTGCTTCTTACGGACAGCCTTCACTCTCTCTGTCCAGTGCGTCATAGTGTGCACTAAGAAACATAGCAGGCAATTAAATAACACTGCATCCTTATATGTATGCACATGGGAGCATAAGGACCAAAATTACAATTCCACTTCTTCTGCAATTCCAGAATTTCTTAATGTCTGAATATAATTTTGCAAACATAAGAGTCTTTTTTCAATAATCTGTATGTGATATATGTGTCTAATTCTTTGTTTCATCCTACTGAGATTTAAAGAGATACTTACTAATGTGCTTTGAATCCCTGTAGTTCAAATTTTCCTTTTTTCTGTGAAACAGGATGAGCTGAAGCATAGCACTGAGAGTGTTAGTTAGTGTTAGTGTTCCATTTAACACTAAAATGGAAAATAATAAGAAACGATAATTTTGGCAGATCTTGCAATCATTACATACATTAGATAGATACACTAACTTACAGGAAAAAACAAGAGTTAAAATAACTGTTAGAATAAATGACTCTGTAAGTAAGCATTTAAACAAACAAAATACGCTGAATTGTTTTCAAATGAAGGACCAGTGGAAATGCTAGTGAAGCCAGTGTTTCAGAGACCCAGATGGAAATTTCTTTATGAACTGTTGAATAACATTTCAGACAGAGATCTGAAAAGAGGGTTACATGATGTGTTTTCAGTCTGGATCAATTAACCTGGTGCTTTATGAAATGATAAGAATAGGATTCTCAGTTAATTTCAGTATTTCATCACACCTATAGATTAATATGGGTATAATTTTTAATGTGGCATTTTTAATTATTAAAAAATTAGAAAACCAGATGGGATTACAAAACAGCAACAGAATACTTAATTAACTTTTGCCTACTGGGATAAATAGAACATACCACAGAATATATCAAAGCAGACACCAATGAGACACTATACATCCATTAGTATGCAGAAGGTTTTCTCTTCAGATATCTGTTCTTATCAGACATAAGCATATGTCTATCAGTTTTACTAAATAAACCCAGCAACTCACCGTGTTATAATCCATAGCATATAACATCATAGGTAAAAATCAAAAGTACACTATAATGCTGCCCATAAATCTGCCATCAAATTATGAAGTGAACAAAAAGTGAGAAAGAAGTTATTATTTTATGAAGGAGTGTGAAATTTAAGTTAGTTTGTAAATACTAAGAAATATCCTTCAGCCATGCAAGAGGGCCTTAAAACAAAAGTAACCAAAATACTAGATTGTAAAATTGTTGTTGTGTTTGTCTAATCATGTTACAATCACTGTCAGCTCCATTACATGATGTGTATTACATACATGGGTAAAAATACATAAGACATGAGTAAATCAGTCAAAGTGCAGACCTGTAAACCCATAATAATGTCTTCTTTGCTTATTTGGAATATCACTTGAATTTATTGCAATACTGTGTCACTTTTTGTGAATTTTCTTGTATAATTTGCCAAAATGTACTCTGAAATAAAAAATATTTTAATAGTATTACGACATTCTTCAAATGGAAGCTCTACAATTGCTTCATTTGGCCAATGAACCTTAGCTGATGACTTCCAAGATTCCTAGAAAAACTAATGATAAGTATTGCACACCAAATACATGTCTAAGTGATGTGCGCTGATACTTTTTTATTTAATAAAAATGAGTGTCACTGGATATATATGTGCATACATTTGGTTATTGCTTCTGGAATTAACAGCCTGCAATTTAATCCCAGTCTATTAGAAACAGGGCTCAGCAGACCCACACAAATTGAAATGAACACTTGCTACAGGCTCTTCACCAGGCATCAAGACAATGTGTTAGTATCTTCAGATTAATACCGGTTAGGTCTTGAACTGTTTCAATCTCACTCTAGACATTTTAAAACAGATGAAAAGTGTGTTAGCCAAAATAAAAGAATACAGAAAATACAATATTGTATTATTTACTGAACAAAATAACAAGTAAAAATAGTTTGTTTTTGTTTTGGTTTTGTATTTTTTTTAAACAGCATTAAGTAATGAAATTTAGACCATACAAGCATCAACAAGAAATGTAAATAACTGTACTATTAAGGTGGTATCTACAATCTTTTTTTACTGCTTGAGATCTGAAACTTCAAATGTTGTATACCTCACTTTAAAATGATACAAATGCCTTGTACAGTATGTAAAAAATTTGATAGTCAATGACTAGAATGAAATGTGCATACAATACCTGAATTTAATATTTTCATAGCTTAGGCCCAGATCATCTAAGTATTTAGGTTCCCACCCCTCGTGGAATATCTAGGTCTCAGTGTGTATCAACCCCTTCCATGAAAGGAGTAACTGCTTTTGACGGTGTGAATTTATAGTCTTGTCTTTCTCTGTACAGGGAGGGAAAGGGTCAATATTAAAGAAAGAATGGTTCCAATAGGCAGAAAGGTTATGGTACTGCAACTACATGAACCACCTTCCCTACGCAACATAAAAATATTCTAATATTAAGGATTATTTTACAACTCAGTGGAAATATGCAATAATGCAATCCATTTCCTTTGTCTGGATGACAAAAATGCAGTCTTAACAGTCACAAGAGCCTGCCTTGTGTTAGCTATAAAAAAAAATATATTTATATATATATTTATGCAACTACTATGTGCATTAAACAAAATCACTGTATGAATCAGCAGGGTTCAATAACACTTGTATCTGAATCTCTGGAAGGGGTGCACTGAAGTCTGGTGCTTCTCAGTAAGGACTCACAATGAAATGTCAATGGATAGAAACCCATTTGTTTAAAATCTTATGTTTCATATCACATTGCCTAAGAAATGGTCCATAAGATCTCTGGCAGCTAAAAGGATCTGTTGTCTTTACTTCAGAGTACTGCTCAGGAATGAAAGATATCCCTTGAAACAAACTTGAAAATTTAGTTTTAGTGAACATTGAAACTGAAAACCAGCCCGATTTCATTGTGAACTCCCACAAAATAATTTCACCATTGTGAAAATTCTCTGTTGTCTTCATTTCTTACCAATTTGAGTATCATGAGCTGTTCAGAGGATAGTAATCAGCAATGTACAAGAAACATTGTACTACTTCCAGAAAGCATATACACTGTGACTTGCGAGTTAGGTGACCAGGTTAATTTAGATTTGAAAAATGAGTGTATTTCGCATCCACTTACAGAAGAATTGGAAAACTCATTTCTTTTCTTCTTTACCTGCATTGAGATACCATTCTTAATAACCTGTGAAGACTGATCAGTGCTCTTTGCACTGGAAGGGTACAGATTTGTCACTCGGTCTTTGAGATACCAGAGAAGAACACTTGAACCAAAGGGCAATACCCTTGTGCACCAAAGCTTTATTGTATTTTTGATTACTGTGCATCCCCATACCTAAAGCCAATAACATGGCACTTGTGCCATAGTTCTGATACCATAGGTGTCCACTGACAAGTGTTCAGCATGAACCATTGTGTCTCAGTCCATTAACAAAAACTACTGTGCAGTGGTAGTCTGGTATCTTAGATAGTTTTTCTTGGACAAAGCTTATCCAAAATCTTCGTTCTATCAGGCTACAGCAGCTTAGGGCTCCTTTTCTTTAAAGAGAGGCAAAGTAAATGTCTTACACCTGTAGGCCAGTACTGGTGTTCTGTCCTAGAAATTTTAGCACTGCTCTGATACGATGAACCCTTCTTTCTCTCCAACTGGTTCCACTTCAGCATAGGCAGGATGTCCAGACCCTCTTCTGAATTTCATTGCTGGCCATCTGCTTGGGCGTCGCTGTAACAGCAGCAACAAGAAAATAAACTTTCAGACTATGAAGAAATTATTAACAAAAATCTTTAACAACACCCTGCAATTTTGGTCTCTCATACTAAAACCCACTCTGTGTAATTGTTACAGAAATGGAGAAGCACAGTTCAGCAGCAACAAATGTCAGAGGAATTAATCCCTCTTTCTAAATTTGTAAGTGGTGGCTGTTCTCAAAGACATATAAAGTAATTACCACTAGTCTTAGCAATGAAGATGATGAAATATCTCCTGTTGAAAACTGTTGATCAGTGGATTTCTGAATTCTGCCATATAAAAAAATGCCGATCCACCACCCCCTAAAGGATCTGTCCACTGTTTCTTCATCCTGGTTCTGCAGAGGAGTTTGCTAACATACTCTACTCCATGGGAGAATGTGTAGCAGTTGAAAGAAACTATACTTAAAAATAAACTTATTTATTATGCAGGACTGATAAAATACTGACCTTCTATTTAAAGTGCCATAATTTCTACTTCATCAGTTTACTTTGATAAAAGCAACATTTTTGTATAAACTTTTATGACCTTCAGGTACATGGGTCTTAAGAAGTCCTAACCAATTTCCACTAGGATCTTCGGTGCCTACTTTAAAACAGCTAACAGAGAAAAGAAACAGATCTTTTCTAGGGTAGATAACACAGTTCCTGTATGATTATGATGACTCCAGGAAGGAAAAGTACGTTGAAAGTCCTGTATTTTCAAAGTAATTCATGTCTGAGAAGGCTTAGACTTTGAGTGACCAAGCTGAGATTCTTTCAAAGGGAATAGTTTACAGGAAACTAGGAAAATTTCTTAAAGTCAGTTAGCAGAGAAAGCTCTCCTAAAATGATTATTCTTCACTGAAAAATTTATCTCCCAAATCTGCTGATACTTATTTCTTTACTGACAACTGCTATGATCTGCTTGGAAGGAGGGTTAGAAGATATAACAGGATTTATAGAAACATTGCAAGAAAATGAGAGGAGAAACAATGAAGATAAGATACAGCCTATTTTTTCATTGACAGTTCAAATTTTAAATAATTTTACTTTATCATCTTTCTTTTGAAAGTAAACACTGCATTTGATTTTCTGTCCCCTTAATACCCCATTTTGATTGCCTTTAGATCACTAAGGATTTTTCATGCTGCTGAGTAGTGGTTCTGGGGACCACAGAGCAGAGACAGCCATGACATTATGCTGGGACTGTTGGACAACAGCCACTAAAGAAATCTTGGGGCACCACTGAACCTTGTTACTAACAAACCACACAGGTGTATGCTGGTACAGCACAAAGTCTTCTCCAGTGATCACCATCAGGAAGATAAAAGCAATCGGTTCCTTTTTCTTCCATTGCAGGATCTGGTTACTTTTGAGGCATCCAGTGTTAAATTCTGTTTGGCAAGTAATTTTAAATTCCAGGCCTTTCAATTCAGTACCTTCCTATAAAGTAGGAAGGCAGAACACTGTCCTCTTTAATGATGTCTTTTCTTAATAAGAAAACTTAAGTCTATTCAAAATTTTGAGACCTTTTTCTACAAAGCTTGATTCAGAGTAGTTTCAAAATTAAGGAGGACAGTTTGGTTACTGCTAAAGAAAAAGGGACATGTGCTGTTCTCAGATTCAGTAAAGTAAATCAAGAATAAGTCAATTAAATATAAAGGATTTATTCCAGATTTACACTGGTATAAGTGAGAAAAGAATTTGACTGAGAGGTCTCTAATGAAAAGAGGAAATCAAAAACCACTGGAAAACTAGTACGAAAAAATAATTAAAGGCAATCTCAAATGGCAGTATGTAAGGATGAGCTGCATTTTAATGTATTAAGATGCTCCCTAATTGCATTTTAAGATGTAGCCATGATTAGTTACGACTTTCTTGCTGTGTTGCTTTAGAAACTAAATGTATCATTTTTGGCTATTCTTTTTAATTGGCCATTCCAGATAATGAAATATGGAACAGATGTGTATCAGTTCTAATGATACAATGCCATACAGCATAAACATCAGCTGTTGCTCCAAAAGTAATCCAACAGATTTGAAGGTCAACTCCAAATATTACAGTTACAGCTTTCTGTAGTTTCTTGTCATGCTTGAGGTAAGATTTTCTATTCCTAGTGATACTCTGTTTAATTTCAACTTTTTTGTGTGCATGTGGATAATGTAAGTGGTTGCCAGCCTTAAAATAGAGCACTGACAAGCTAACAATTCATTGACTTGCGTATCGACTCCCAAAGAGGTGTAGTGGTATCACAGTTTTAATTGGTAAAACCAAAAGTAACTTAATTGATACACGGAGATACAAAGCTTCTTGAATTGGTGAAACAGCTCAAGAAATGCTTAATGCGAAGCAGAGTGATAAGAAGACACAAAAAAATCTACCCTCCAAAAACCAACCAACCACAACCACAAGTGCCAAAACCTGACCAATAATACAGGCAGAAAGCAAACTGGATTGTCATGCAATTTAACAGGGAAAAAAATATGTTTCTTCCTCTGGAATTAGAACTTTAAGAAGAAATCCTCTGAGCTGTGTCTAGAGAGTTGCAACTTCTGCTTCATTTCAGTGTATTACAAAGTGGGAAAACAGGGCCTGAATCTTCCTTGGAGTCATTATTTTAAGGAAATAAGCTGAGGGAAAAGTACCTGTGGCCTTACACGACCAGAATGCAGAAGATACATGTCAGGATGCAGAAGAATAATTTATGATACACATTAGAAAAAAAGTTAGTTCCCATCTGAAGATCAAATAAGACAAAATGAAAGAAAGTAGCAGTTGGATAATCCATGGAAAGTGAGATCTAACTTTCATGTTTCTTACCTTGTGACTGTTTACACCATTGTTGGTGGTTGTGCAGTATATTTGACTTCCTATAGCAATACTAAGCCTAGAATAAGTGCTTTTAATTAGGTCTTGAAGTATAGGCAGAATGGATACTATTTGTCTTACTTCCGTGAAAAGAAAAGGAGGAGATTCCACCTATGATTACTAAAGGGTGGAGGCTGGAATAATATCTCACTGTTGTTACACAGAAAGGTCTCCAGGTGTGTTCTTGTCATTGACCAGTTTCTTCTTCTGACATATTTCCACATGAGGGAATTTTGAGCCTTATAGGTCCTATTTTATCCATCAAAATGTCAGAATGGTATGACCTCATTAAGACACGTTAAAAAAAGAAAGGTTTAATATGTATCTAAATGCACTTACTTGAATATTTTCTAAAATCCCCTCAGTTGGCATGATATCAACGTGGTTTCCAGTACTACATTCTATGACTACTTTTTTTTAGGTCACTAGCTTTAGATCATCTTATTTGTTGAACAGTAACTCTTTTGAACAACAAAATAAAAAGTGGCTCAAGTAAAAAACTACAGGCAATATTGGTTGTATTTGACACAGAATTTTCTAGTAAACTTGATCATATTGAAAGGGAGGAAACAGAAAAGGACCCATCAGTTTTTACATTACAGGCCTGTATTAACTGTCCAGAGATCATTTAAAGTGAAGCCATTTATTTTCTACTGACAGCAAGGCTCCTACCTATTATGAGCTAGCAGATCACCAGTGATGCAACTAGAAAATAGGAATGGAAGTCTGCTACAATTTAGAAAAAAGGTAAAATTCAAAAAGAATTATGTATTTCTACACTGACTTACAGATAAAAAAAACAATCAGTGTCTCAAATTAAAACTATCTTGAAAACAAAGGAAGTGATTCGTCCAGAATTCCAGTGAAAAAGCTGGTACAAAATCAATTCAAGTTTTTTTAATGGATTTTAAAAATATCTGGAAAGAATAAACTGAGTATACATAAATGAGAAGTAAAATCTACTTTATACATGCCACAGAAAAATAAATTGTAAGGCATAAGCAATATACAAGATCAACTACAGGAGGATGACAGTTGTATGAAGCTGTATTGAAATACTGGTGTTTGAAGATTGATGCCTTGCTCTTGAGAGATTCTTCTGTTGACATTATACACTATGTCTAAAATTTATTCCAGTTAACACTTTTCACCTGAGATCGTAATTAATTAAAATCAGTTATAATAATGTGTGTTTTATTAGCTGCAGTAATCCTGAGCACTTACATTTCCTTTCATACATCTGCATTAACACAAGTTCCTGTCAGTAATGGACAGGAGGAACTTGGCAACATGTATTACTTATTTGATATTCTTACATCCTATCCTCATCCTAGCCTTCATTCAGTACAGAAAACTGGAATAAGCATGGTTTTGTACAGATCTGCAATGTCAGAAGAGCAGTGAAGGGAAGACATAATGAAAAATCTGTCCCTCTGTTGTTTCCCCAACCCTGCTACATATACACACTTCATTCCGAAAATTGTCTAAAATATTATCAACTGTTCCTTTGGATATTTCAACCAGCATAAAATCCCAAAGTGTTTGTGCATGGATCAACTCTTCACTCCTATTCAGCAGTAAACCTGAACAGCAGATTTTACCAAGACACACACACATCCTATTTCCAAACTGAGTTTACATGAGTATAAATAATTTAATTAGCATGAGAAGGTCAATCTTTCAGTCTTGAAATACTCTCCAAAGCTCCCTAGCAAACCTGATTTCCCACTAAACGACATGAAAGCTGAAGTTACTGAATAATTTTTAGGCTGAATGCTCTGATGCAACTTTGTCTCCTCTACCTCCTCTGATTATTTTCCTGAATTTAAAAACTTTGAAATCTTTCAGAGGACTTTTTCACTGCTTGTACTGAAGGCTGCATCTTACCTTTCCATTGATGGCAAGTTCTTTGTCAAATATGAGGGCATAAAGACATTTAAATCTATTTAAAAGCTTTGTCAACAAGGCCTATTTAATTCGCTTAACCGGAAATACATATGTACAGAGCTGTCCAAATTCTGGATCAATTCACAAAACACCAGAAAAAATTGTAATGATTTGCTCAAATTGATTATGAAAAGCAGTAAAAGCTATGGTAAGGTCGATCACTAAGTGAACATATAT